CGTGGAAAAAAAAAAAAAAAAAAGAACAGCGAATGTTACATGAAAGAAGATTTTTGTGTAACATGCGTAATTACGTTTAATTGATAAATTCTGCTAATAAGACATCACCAATAATAAATAATGCAATAATAGAGTATTCTTTATGATAGAATACATTACATATTACACTATTGAAAAAATATTGTACAATACCATATACCTATTGTATAAAAGTATTGTAGAATACTATATCTATTCAAAAGCATGAATCGCATCAGCAAGAAATGCGACGAATAAGACGAAGCTATATAAATAACAAAAAGAAATGCTTGTCAGTGGACGAGCAAGGAATGAAGAAGTATAGTTTTTACTATTTAGCATACCATATTGATCCAAAGAATGATACCGATACTAATTACTCATTTTTCTAGTAATATTACTTCACTGGTAGTTTCTACGGACACAATAAAAGTAGTCTTTTGTTTCAAAAGTGATAAATAGAATTTAAGCGGTTCGTTCTAACAGTCAAATAATCTCTAAACACTGAGAGGTGACGCCGTCTATTATCTTATTAATATTTAATTTTCGTCCAGTTCTTTAAGATAGAATATACATTGTAAGCAAAAGCAACAGTAATTTAAAAACAAATTTACGATTGAATACAATATGTTTTGAAAAAATATTTTTTTTATTTAATCACCTTAAAAATGCTCACATGACAGAAACGTCCTATATTTTTAGTCTAAACTAATTTATATCACACACTGAAAATACTAAAGTAAATCTTTAGCAGTTTTACTTTCAGATAGCTAACTTAGGAATTAAATCTATGTGGGTAATTTTAAGAGAAATATAGGAAAACTAAAATAAGCGCACTTTTTTAAGTTACATTCTTGCTTTAGGTTCCTATTAAAATTTATCTCCAGGATTTTTATTTTATTAATTATGTATCTTCATAAATATCAGTTTTAAGCAAGATATTTAGAAAAAATAATTGTAAACTGTCCCCAGTTTCCAAAGTTTTATACATTTATTATATAGATATAAACCTTTAATTAAAACTACTATTAATAAATACTAAAAAATTACAAGAGGTTTAATTACAATTTCAACAAGCAAAAGCAAGAAAACTATCAAAAACTGTACAGTAGAACATCATTACTAACATAATATATCAAACGCTGTTACAATACTCAAAACTTGGAAGTAGGATACAATGCCATTATTAAATGAAATATATAAAATTCTAATTGCTTAGTGAACAAGAGTTAGTCTTTGCACCCATAGGATATACTAATTGTGACGTCCGATGTGGCCTCATTAAAGTTTTCAATGCAGTCTGACATCCTATTTAAGGATCGGACGGTTGAAAATCAAGGCTTCGTAGCAGCTGGGATAAAGAATAACTTATTTAATGGCTGCTTTCCTAAGCGTTTTAGGCTTCACGCTTCTACTCTGTGGTAAGGATTAATTAAGTAATTTAAGTAAGACTACATAACAAGCGTCTTTAATTTCTGCCTGTTTTAATTATATAATTTAACGAAAGGATACAGTCTATGTTGTTTACTTTTAAACTTTGCTTTGACTTTACTTAATTGACTGCTTCGACTGCAGTGAGTTTTGCATATTTAGTAGTTTACGTTTTGCACGTATGGTTATTTTTCATGAAATTAATGCGCGAAGTAAGGAGATCTTACTGCAGCAATATCTCGAACAGTTATATATTCATGCCAAAATATATTTTTTAATATTTTCCATCCCTTTATCCACCATTTAATAACGATTTTTGGAAACCGAAGATCATTTCCAAAGAAATAAACTTTTCTTTGGGTTTTTTTTATCAACATTATATTTCAAGTGGCAAATCAATGTCAAGAGAATCCTGGAAAATTACTGCAAACTTATATTTAAAACTAGACAAAACTAAGACTCATGTTTACAAGAAGTTTCTGTAGTGACATATATGTATAATTTTCTATAATTGAGTGCTTAATTGTTCTTTGAGAGCTCCATAATTGATTTTTTAATAGTTGCTTTATTACAACTTTTAAATCTTCTTCAATGAAAAAAAGGGTTTAAAGCGCAGTTTTTTGCTGATTGTTAAATTTTCATATTTCGTGAATTTTTCTTATATAATATAACAAACTGTAAATCTTATATAATTGCTGTCATTGTTTATTATATGGGAAGATAGCTTATTCTTATAAATTTCTGATAAACTATAAAACTTTTATGAAATAATTATATCAAAATAGGATTTTTGTCAATTCTAGGAATGGTTAAAAGAAAGTCCTCAGAAATATAATTAATAATAAATTAATAATAAATTAATAAATATAATTAATAATAATTTATAATAATTCGTTAATAAAATTACATAAAATGAAAGGGAGAAATGTATATCGACGAAACCTTCATTTTTGAATCCATACAGAATCCCGATATAATTTAGTTATTAAACTCTGTTATGTCATAAACCCTGGAATGATATCTATTAACATACTTACCATATTTTTGGAAATACTAAAAGAAATAAATCTTTTTGAGTTCCTGAAATTCAATACGTAAATTGCAAGACTTCATATTTTAATTACATTGCATGTTCCTGAAACGCTAATTTTCTAATGTCATTAAGATATTGTTGATATATGTTTAAAAATGTTGCTTGTCAGTCGAAATAAATCTTTTATTTATCCTTTTTCTTTTATTATTTTCTAAAACTGCACATCGTGAGAATTATTTAAGAATGAAATATTTCACCAGCCATTCTATTAATGCTTTTTGATTAGTTATCATGTAAATTTAAGAAGAGTCGCTCCCTAAGAAGACTGCTTAGCTCCAGAGAATTTTGTTCATCTGCGGAGGTGGTAATTTTAGAGAAATGGCGTTCACTTGTTATTTATGTATGCTCTCAAAAATATTTCTCACTTTCAGAGGTAGTCATCTATGACAACTGATCGTCTCGAGACGATAGGTTTAAGTCTCAATTTAGAACCTATTGCAGCCTGAACTGGCAAGCCTGAACTGCTAAACTGTAACCTAAATGTTAGAAACATAAAAACTCCCAAATAGATTTCGCATTAAATCTCGTTGTTTTTATCTTTTATTTTGGCCAATTTGATAGCTTAAAATCTTAATAATTTTTTTGCTAAGACAAATAATTATTTCTGTTGCAGTATAAATATCTGTGACGATTGTTCATACTAACTGGTTAAATATGAATACAGAATAGAATCTTACAAGCATACTTCATTTTATATATCCAAATATACTAGTTTATTTTCCTTCTCAATAGTTTCTTCTTCCGTAATTGTAAATGAAAAACAACTGTGGTACTTGCTGTTTTTCATTCAAACTTGCTGTTTCATACTTTCCTTATCTAAACTTACCCAGTCTAAGATCATTGAGTAAACTCCAAGATGCTGCAGAAAATCACTTTGATACTTCTATAGGAAAGGAACCGAAATCATGGCATATTCTTCTGTATCTGCTGGATGATCTGCTGAAAAATTAGACTTATTAAAGCCATTACCCTAATTCTGCTTTTGGAATTACTCTTACAACTTGTTATGCGTTCTTAATATGAAAAATGTAAACATTAATTATAATTTTCTGTAAATGCCTCCTCCTATTAATGATTTGTCGTAATATTAATTAAATAGTAGCTAACACATTAATTAATAGTATTATTAACATAATTAATAGTAGTAACTCGTTTCCGAAAATAATTACTGCAATTATTTATTTAATTATTATTATGATTAGCGGCTCCAAATAACACTTTCTTTAGCATCGTCTCTCCTACCCTCAAGCGAGCAGTTAGTTCCGTGCATCGACTAGTTCCGCAATATCTGCAGTTCTGATTTTTCAACTCGCTGCCCTAAAGAGAAAAACTGATTTTGAATGGGCCGACTATGTCAGATGTCTCCGTTAGCTCAGATAAACTCCAGTCTAAACGGCTCGTTAAGTGGCACGTTTATCTGATAAGGTATTTCTCCCGCTTTACTAGCGTGCGTTCGTGGTGTAGTGGTTCTGCACACTGGGCCGGTATTCCAAGGTCCGTGGTTTGATTCCAGGTGAAGGCGTTTGCTCATTTTAAATCCTGCCTGCTTCCAAAAAATACTTAATTTCTATACAGTGGCGCCTTAACTAAAAGGGTGTTGGATGATGATTCTCCTCACTCAAGGATTTGGCGATTGGGTCACCTAAAACCCCAGTCGCCATTTAAAAGGGGGAGTATATAAGGTATTTCTCCCGCCTTCCTAGCGTGCCTTCGTGGTGTAGTGGTTCTGCACCCTGGGCCGGTATTGCAGAGGTCCGGGGTTCAATTCCCGGCGAAGACGGTTTATAATTTTTCATCTTGCCTGCTTCCAAAAATACCTAATTTCTCTACCTAGGAGATACGAAACCTTAAGCGACGTTCTCACTGGGGTTTATTTGAGCTAACGGAGTCAGTTCCATATGTCGACTAACTCCGCTATGCCTGCAGTTCCGATTTTTCAACTTGTTGCCCTATGGAAAAAAACTGGTTTTCGAGATAGGTCGGCTTCGTCAGTTGTGTTCGTTAGCTTAGATAAACCTCAGTGGGAACGGCCCTTTTAGGTAGGCGGAGTTTCATGTGCGGTACGAACAAGTAAAAGCGAGCTCATTCGGCAAATCTCACCTGACCCTGCACTTGCATTACTAATATCAACGCTACTGAAATGATACTAAAAGTTTCTAATTTAAGCAAGAATAAAATACTATGAAATCAAAATGGTACAGTAAATTTTTCATTACTTTTGTATACAATGTACATAGTCTTATTACTATTACTATAATGAATCAGAAAAGTGACTAATTTATTTTTAAATAATCGTAAGAAAGTATTTGTCATTCATTGCCTAATTAAATTCTGTGGGTAAAAAAAAGGCTCATTCAATGAAATTTTAATGCTACATTGTACCGAAAAATTTTGTTTCGGAATGAAAAATACAGCAATATAAATTCGTTAAAAATATGAAAACCACAGCAGAATAACTCTATCCAGAGCAGAGTATTTTTTCCTCCTGAAAGGATGGATTAGTAAATAAATGCAACAGAATATTTAAACAATATTTCTTAATACAATACAAATTTATACTGCATTAACTAAGACCAAAAATAATTTTATCTTTAAAATTCCACTTGGAATATTATAAATCTATAAAAGTAAATAATAGATGAATTTCATGAACTCAGCTTTCTTGTAATTTTTACCGTATCAGGTATGAGTGACTGTCGAAGACGAAGGCATTCTCCGGATGAACATCGCCACCACCATGGTCATCCAGAAAAGGCTTTGCAAGAAGTTCTGTTTGAAGATTATAATAAATTGACCCGTCCGGTCACGAAAGCCTCAAATGCTGTGGTTGTCTGGGTTGGAATGTCACCTCTTAAATTACGAAACCTGGTAAATGTTTCATACATTACACGCTTGATACCCTTTGCTACGATTTCTTTGAGCTCAGTCAGTAATACTATCTTTACTATCTCTTTCCCCGAGCAGATCCAAACAAAAGGGTTTCATTGTGTAAATTTAGAAAGCATTTTAATATTTATCTGAAATACTTAAAATATTTTCTCTTTTTAGGATGAGAAACATCAAGAAATTGAATTGGATACTTGGGTAAACATCGTAAGTGTATTATGAGCAAATACGTATTGTTTTAATGTCGTAAACACATAAAACTTGCATATTTGCAAACTTTTGTTACATAAATACCGATTGCTTAAGTTGAAAAAATACTTTAAAATTAGAACTTTTGCGTAATAGGAAATAATAATTTTCCGATCAATTCTTTTTTTTACGTTAAATTTGTATATCTTTTCATGCTTGTTACGAGAAATGTCTTCAATATGTGACACTGTCACATACTTGGCGGCCAAACTATCAAATCTACACAAGCAATGCGCATAGGTTCTTTTCACAATATATTCTAATACATTATAATAAGATTATAATAATTCTAAAATTCGTAGCTACTTTGGTACAATGAAGACCAACATTAACATGTTTACGATTAATTTCCTTTTTAATTTTTAATTTTTCTTCCGTGATTACTGTCTTTATTTTGACCTCTATACTTTAAATCAGCAATTCTACTCTAGTAATTTTGCACAATTTTGTACAGATTTTCTACAGAAATTTTGTACAATTTTGTACAGAAAAACATATTTGAATAACAATATGTTTAAAATTTCTGAATAAAATCCTTCTCCTTGAGCATTGTTTAGAATTCCAAAAATTTAGTTAAGCTTTTCATTTCTAGCCTAATGTCAAGTTAAAAAACAAGCAATATAATAAGTTAAAATAATAAGTTAAAAAACAAGCAATATGATTCTTAATTTTTCCTTTATTGAATTTCTATGGTATCCCTTTACTACAATTCTGCTTTTTTTTATCGAATTTATATTTACTACTTATGCATTTACATCAGAGTTCAAGTCGATCATCAAAATTTTATATTAATTTTTTTACCTTTTATTATTTTCGTCTGATACATTAAATTGGTAAGTTAAGAATTACATGAATCTGATACCGCTGTATTTGAATGTGTGTGTAGAATATTCTTTATGATTTGTAAGTTTTGTTGTAAAGCCAATGAAGAATGCTTAGAAAGAACTAATATTATTCGCATAGACGTTTAAAGAACGTGGGCATCTTATCTGTATTCTGAGTCCCATAAAAGAAAGAATTCCTTTAAAACCTCATTCCATATATAATATGGAATTTAAATAAAATTTTTCGCATATTAAATCCTTTAAATCAATTACTCTTCTTTCAACTACTTAGTGTCTTCCACAAATATGTTTCCTTCAGTTTACACACAGCTTCTGTCTACCTCATTAAAGAGGTTATAGCAAGCTTCATTAATATCAATATGTTAATTAGTTATTATGTGTATTTGAATTTGTCATTGATATTTTTTGACATTAGGGTTTGTAAAACTTTTTGAGCAAAATATTTTCTGTGCAACATCATATTTAAAAATAAGTGAAGCTATATGCAAACATACGTATTTGAAAACTGACTGTATTTTGTTTGGAAATTTGCATATTGTTACTATTCGTAAGCTTTTTATATACTACCTGTTTCAGCAATTATGTGATTTTATCTCATTTGTATGATATCATCTCTTAACTGAAGTTTACTAACTGAAACATTGCATACTTCCGTAATTAAAAAAAAAAAAAAAAAAAAAAAAAAAAAAAAAAAATTCTATTACCTAGCACACGTGATATAATTTCTCGGCAATTATGAAATGCATAGCTGCATCAAGTCACTATTAAACCCCATATAATATTATACACCTGGCACATAGCCAGTTTCTTTGATAAATTTCCACGGAAAAATCAAATCTCACGATTTGGAAACATTAACAGGCCATTACACACATGAGGATCTTACGATCTTTGTGCGATTCACGGTAAGAATGCATTAACATTTTGAAAAAACCTGAGTATGGCAGTATAATCTTCCTTTGTCCTATACAATGATATATAACACCCTCCCGCTGTAACATAATCTTTTTTCAAGTAAATAAAACCTGCTTTTTTAATAGCTAGTGTAGTGGCACTTTTATGCCAGAATAAAACTTAAAAATTTAGCCTTGGACAGAATTAAAACACGGCTTTCAAGGAAGTTGTCTTAAAATGGATATAGGTGCTTGTGAAAGAAAATTATTTTGAAATGATAAAAATTTTAGATCAGGATCAGAACTAGCAAATTGTTGCTTAAGTAAATCAGCTACGATTCAGGGGAAAGCAAAGTTTAACAGTGCCATCAATATCTTTAACGGATATTAAAATATTTTTGAACTTTGGATTTACTCTATGGAGTGTCATTTAAGTTTCTAACCAGTTAGTTTATGTTAGTGTGCTGTCCTATAAGCCTAATTTCCATTTCTATTCCATTTCCCTTTCCAAGTGTGCAAATTTCTAACTCGTGCGATATTCAAATGAGGTAGAGAGTATTTAAATGAAGATTTTTAGAGAGTGAAATCAGAGCGTGATACGGCTGCTAGAAGGTCACGTTGCTAACTTTGATTCTCTAGCGATTAGTATTTAGCGGAGTTGAGTTATTCTTGTCATTAAGCTTGTTTGCGCCCACTTCGGTCACAGCCAGCTTAAGCTGCAGTTTCAGTTGAGTTAACTGTGTATAGACATTCGTTTTTTTTTTTTTTTTTTTTTTTTTTTTTTTTTTTTTGTGTTGTTGTTGTTGTTGTTACGCAAGAGAGATGAAAAATGCGCAGTGCCCTCACCGGGACACGAACCACGGACCTCTCGAATACGCGCCGGGCATCCTGGCCTCTACACCCCTAAGGCATGCTAAGAAGGCGGGAGAAATACCTTACATACTCCCCCTTTCAGAGAGAAAAACATTAAAAAAAACTCATTCGAATTTTCAAAAAAATCGCTTCCAGGTGCGCTGGCTCTTGTCTAGATGTACCCTATAGATAGCAAAATTCGTAGCCCTGTGTCTACTCGCAGCACGAACACTTACACACACACAGATAGACTCTTCCTTTTATTATATTGTAGAGATATTAGGTACTTTTGGAAGCGAGAGACTTGAAAAACGGACCTCTGGAATTCCGGCCCAGCGTGCAGAACCACTACACCGCTAATTCATGCTAAGAAGGCGGGAGAAATACCTTGTATACTCCCCCTTTCAGAGAGCGACTGGGATTAGGGGACCCAATCGCCAAATCCTGGTGGTGGAGAATCATCATCCACCACCATTTTTAGCTCGGGCGCCATTATAGAGACATTATGATATTTTGAAGCAGAAGAGATGAAAAATGAGTAATGCCCTTGCCGGAACTCGAACCACGGACCTCTCGAATACGCGCCGAGAGTATTGACCACTACACTTCGAAGGCATGCTAAGAAGGCGGGAGATATACCTTATAATTAAAGCCGTTAGACTATTTACTGTATTACATTAATTTTACCTCATCCATTATCTTTGTTTTAAGCCAAAACTACTTACTTCTGTAAGCATGAGTCGGTGCTTACTGTTATTCTCAGATAAATAAAATTGTCCTTTACAGCATTTCCTTGTCTCTATGGTACTTACAAGGCATAGTGACAACTCATAAATTGTCTTTTAGGGTTCTGATCTAATTTTATGGTATCTTCTGAAAACCAGACTCTATAACTGTCTAACATATATAGAGTGACATCTATAGTGTTTCATTAAAATGCAGTTAAATATATCCAAAAGTTCTCATTTATATTTTCTTTATAATATACTTTTTGTTCGGTGCACAGTATTCTTTAAAAGGCGTATTTATTTGTAAAATTAAATTTATATTGGCTATAAAACATAATGAGCACATTTCCAATATGGTTTTACAACAGTTTATGAAAATTCATTTGATACCTTGGACGTACAGTTAACTGCAATTTCATTATGCTTCAGTTTCAGAAAATAATCTAAATGTAGATATAATTACAACTTGTCTTGTTACAGAAGTAAAATAACATAAATGATTTTTATTCGTGATTGTGTTCGCAATCCCATTTTGGTGCGACAGAAACCAATCAAAATATTAAAATACTTTAACTGAAGTTTTGTTTTCCAGAAATGGAAAGATCCTTTTCTCAAATGGCAGCCAGAAGATTATGATAACTTACACTCCCTGGTACTACCTGCTGAAGAAGTCTGGAAGCCAGATATATCAGTTTATACAGCGTGAGTATAAAATATTGCTTTCTAACTGCAGTGAAGTACTCAGTTGATAGCAGATTCGTACAATTTGTTTATCGCTAAGGGTAATTTCATCATTTTTAAATCATACTTACAGGTAATGTTTTATGTGAACTTACATTTTGTAAGGACACACTAATTATAAAACTTAAGCAAAGTGAAACTCAAACTTTTTCTTTTGTGTAACACAGATTTACAAACTTTTCCTTTTTTACAAAATTTCCCTTATTTAAGAAAGGGTACCTGGTTTACGTAAGGAGAAATTTTGGTGTCCGCCGATAACATCGCGAACGAAAACGTCGCGGAGAAAACAACGCAAGGCGAAAACGTCGTGCTACAAAACATCGTGGGAGAAAACATCGCAAAGAGAAAACATCGCAGTTCTAAAACATCGTGCTACAAAACATCGTCGTCGAAAATAAAGCGGTTCAAAAACTTCGCAGTAAAAACGTCGTGGTAAAAAATAAAGTATCTACAAATCATCGCATGACGATAACATCGCAGACATGCTTTTTTAGGTTTTAATAATTGTAAATGTATATTCCCATATTGATTTGTGATCGCAAAATGGAAAGAAGGATAATTTTTACTTTCATACTTTTTATTAACTAATAAATTTTTGCTGAGAAAATAAGAATGAAACTTAAGCATAGAAAATTAATGCAACTTATAGCACTTAATAGAATTATAAACCGACATAGTTAACTAACAAAGGCCATTAATAAATCATTTTTATAAAGTTTTTACTGGTAATTTTTCATGAAAAGTATAATCTATAATTTGCATTTAATTTTTTATGCTTAAGTTTCCTTCTTACTTTTTCAGCAAACAATTATTAGTTAATAAAATATGTGAAAATAAAAATTATCCTTCTTTACATACTGCGCTCACAAATCATTATGGGAATATCCATTTACAATAATTAAAACCTGAAAAAAGCATGTCTGCGAAGTTATCGTCATGCGATGATTTGTAGATACTTTATTTTTTACCACGATATTTTCGATGACGATGTTTTTAAACTGCGAAGTTTTTGAACCGCTTTATTTTCGACGACGATGTTTTGTACCACGATGTTTTAGAATTGCGATGTTTTCTCGTTGCGATGTTTTCTCCCACGATGTTTTGTAGCACGACGTTTTCGCCTTGCGTTGTTTTCTCCGCGACGTTTTCGTCCGCGATGTTTTTGCCGCGATGTTTTCGGTTGTAACCGAAATTTTGATATTTCAATAAAAAGATATATATATATATATATATATATTTTGAAAAAAGAAACAATTTCACATGTGCTTCTATAACGCGGTTAAATGTCACAGTAAATTTCTCCAAACATCAGCACGAGAGTTTTCAGTTCGGTGTAACACAACGAAAAATATCAAATTAGTGGAAGATATGAAGATACAGAGGTGCCATTTATGCGATATAAATGCATTAAATATTGAAACTGCAATGCTTGAACTAAACGAATTATAAAGAGTTTTAATGAAAGAAAATCATTTTAATTTGTTAACAACGAATACTGTTAAGTTTACAGCAACGATTTCCAGCTAAGCAAAGAAATGACAATTATGAATATGTTATTCTGAAATGTTTATAATGACGATTAAAATACGGTGAAGATAATATGATGGATTAATATGCGAGTGGTACTAAATACTCATATTTGCGTTCAGTTATCGTTATGAGTGGAACTCATAAATATTAATTAAAAAAATGGAATAAATTAGCATAATTATATGCAGAATATTAATATATATTAAAAGATAAATATTACATATTACTGTTTTCACAGAAAATTTAACTCGAGTATAAAAATATCCTTTCTAAAATAGCTGTTGTCTTTTCTGAAATATATATCTTTTTTAGAACTCCAGATACATCTGTGCGGCCGACTATCATAACCAACGTTGTGGTCAACAGCACTGGAGAAATAATATGGGTTCCACCATTTACAATTAAAAGTAGCTGCCCTATGGATTCCTACGATCATAAACACGAAGTCATATGCAATATCCGCATCGGATCTTGGACTTATAATGGTCATCTTCTGGATTTGCATATGTCCAAAGTGGACATGAGTAATTATGTTGACACTCATCCTGACTGGAGGTTGGTTACTGTCAAAACAAATGAAGCTGCTAAGCTGTATGAATGTTGTGATGAAGAATACCTTCACATCAATTTCAACGTGACTTTGGTGAGGAAGACTTCATCGCATTCACATCACAGCCATTCACGTAATAGCGATCATTCACATAATAGCGATCATCATAATAGCGATCACGATTGGCATGGACATTCTCATACAAAGCGACACCACGGATAACTACATTCTATCTACGCTTCAGTAGATTGCACTGCATTAATTGCACAGTCAGTGAAACTATAAAATTATAAGTGATATTTTCACATCTCAGTAACATTTTAAAAGCAACGTGTAAAATCAATGCCTTCAATCATACTTAAAAGTAACAAAAATAGTTACTTCATAAATTAAAAATTAACTTAAAATATTTAATATAAATTACACATGTTAACTGAGAGCTTGTTTATTGAGATTCTGAAGCATCAATTAGCAAATGAAGTCCTTTTTGTTAATTTTATTGCACTTATAATCATACATTTCGTTGCGTATTGAAGCACAGTTATATAAACGTTCATAAATACTTCAGATTAAAATAAAAATTCAGTTGGATTTCTTTAAGTTTATACATTCATTGCAATCTTTATATTTTTATTTGAATCTGGTTTTTAAGTTCTGTATGATGCAACTGAAACTAGAAATATTGAACAAAATATCTTAAAACAATCTCAGTAAACATGACTGGAATTACAATTTTTTATTATTGATATTATAAACTGATAATTTCTGTTTAATATGATAAATAAAATAGATTTGTTGCACAGCATGTATCTTGTAAAAGTTTGCAAAAACTTACTGACCCATGCTTAGATTATCAGAAATTTCAGAATGTGAAAAATGCACATGTTCTATAAATTTTACAAATATCATATAAAAACGTTAAAGTATTATATCACGGTGAAAGCGTAAAAACACCATAATGGATAATTCGCTCTGACTAATGCCTTAAAATTGCTAAATAGTCGAACATCGAATAGTTAGAACAAACCATGTGCATGGAATAGATACGCCTTAGACGTCCTTTTTCATTATGTTTTAGGAAAAAGGAATATACTTAACACTGTTAACTCCATTAAAATATTATTAATAGCATAATTTGGAATTCATTATTTGGTTTAATATTGTGAATATTGTTAACGTGTAAATGAAGTCAAATTAACTACATAATAAATTTTCTAAAATGCTGATATTTTTAACTTATAAAATTCTTAATTAATCCAATATATTATTCCTTACTTAATATTTTACATGCAACTTTCTAAGGCAATGTTTGTATGGCAAGTTTTCCAAGGTCTATATTTGCATTCTAAAGTCTATATTATATATATACAGCAAGGTCTATACTTGCTTACTTTAGAGAAGCTCTTAAAATGTTGTAATGTTTATATAAAGCAACTGTCATTTTAGAGATTTTGATACCGGCTTAGAATGAATCAAATATTACAGCCAAAATTTCAACTGCTTTATACAATATACATTGATAAAATTAATTTTGTTACACCGTTACCTAATTTAATTTACTGGTACTAATTTAGCATTATGTTAAGTTTAATTTCATAAATCTAAAAGTAACGTTGTTCGTTTTAAATTTCTTAATGTAATACAGAATATTTCAAAGTACATACGTTAGTGTAATAAATTACCATTAAAAGTACATATTTTGAATTATTTAATACGTCTTTCCTTAAGGAACATATTTTGAAATTCAGTACTTCTCAATAAATAACTATTTCTTTCCTCTGAAAAAACATATTTAATATCTTCGTTCACAAATGCTTATTATTTCAGCTATAGAAGGTAGCCACATTTTCTGCAAATTTATTTTACGAAAGCAATTTTAACTTCCTATTTTAAGAAACATCGAATATTTCATCTCCTGTAACATATCAAATACAGGTACAAAAAATATTAGCAAGTTCATTAATTTCGGTAAAATATTTACATCCTTAATTGAAATGTGCAATTATTGTAGATATCTAGAAGAATAATTTTTTGTCAGAGAAAAGACTAAATTTTGGACACAGCCATGGAATAAATCTAAGGCAATTTTTCTTTGGCAGCTTTTCTAAGGTCTATATCATATATATACAGCAAGGTTTGCAAAAACCTTCCTGTACAAAAGTTTTGAGGTTTAGGGTTTATATTAATATCACGAAAATTAGTGATTACAAATTTATCTTAACAACTAAAAACAAACTACTGAATACAAATTAGTAGTATCAATAATAGTCAGTAACAGTATGTGATTTATTAATTACATCATTATTATATCTCTACATATGTATGTACACATTCCACATGAATGTGTATATATATATGGGTGGATTTTCAAATCAATCAGTTTAGCAACACAATGAAAATTTTTACATGAGATCAAAATTTCCATCAAAGTCATAGAAAGATTTATACAAATTTTCTTCTTTAATACCCAATTTTTTTACTTAATATTTGTAACAGAAAGTCTTGTTATTATAAAATCTTAGGAAATTCCATATTGTTTTTTGAAATTGATAAAGAAAGTTCATCAATGATCAAGTTACTACCCCACTTACAGCTATTAAAATTGCATTTAAATATTGATCAGAATTCGAAACAGCAAAGGTTTCATTGAAAGACTATACAGCGTTGTCCAAAATCTGGATAAAGATATCGTCAAATTAGGTGCGAGGGTTAGCTGAAAGATGTTTCTGAGGTTTCTTCGTCAAGCTAAAAGTATATAATGAATACTTTAAATTGACAGTTAATATTCATCTCTAGTATAGAATGTAATACAAGAAAGTGTTAGCACAAAAGTTAGCCAAATATTTAAGAAAAGGCAGATTAAGAATATAACATAACATGTATAACATGTAATCAGAATCAAGATAAATTTTTCCTTAAAGATTTAAGTACTCTTACGTTCGTAAGGATTCATAATGGGTTCAATGTATGCAGAACCGATTATAGCTTGATAAAATTTATTTTCCCAAAAGAAACACTTTACAGTTATGGATCTTTCCCCAAAAGTACTCGTATAGCTTTTCTTAGCACACACGTTTTACACAGAACAATGAGTAGTTACTACTAAGAACGTGACATGGTAGTTTAACTAAGAGCGTTAAACACAACACAATGCAAAGTTCATCTAAAGAGCAAAGCTCTCACGGAGATCTCTCAATACTCCGAAGACAACGCTGAGCTGAAATGTATGAACTGATGCTCTCTTCAATCTTATATGGGTTTCTCGTCGGCTATCGAGGAATTTCCAGCACATTGCAGTTCTCAAAAAAGTGTTGGAAAGCGTATACGGTTACAGTTACACATAAGGGCCAGATATAGTTACAGTTACATAGGCATTTAGACCAATTACACTTTACAGGGATCGGACCGAAATGTCATCAAATAGTTGTCATGTATGACGAATTTTGGAGATTTCTCGCCAAACTTGGGGACAAATACTAGTCGCCAAAACCATGGCCAGGTTGGCGATGTCTCGTCATTTAATAGTCATTTATTTCAATTTTAAATAGATTTGCCCCTGTTAATTTATTCTTCCGGCAAAACTTTGCTTAATACTTTTTAGGATTTAAGTAATTCTTTTTTATGTGAGTAAAACATATTTACTATTTCGCTGTGTTTAGAGAACTTAGTTTGATAGCTTTCCAAAGTCTATATACGCAGAATCCATTTAATGGTCACTACATATTCTAGTTATTTTTTTTACTCTTAAAGAAAACGCAATTAGGCAGTCCTAACCTGTATACTTATCAGGCTTCGCTGTGCAATTTTTTTCTTTTATCGTTGGCATAGTTATTGTCAACAAGATATCAGCAAAACATGTGCATTCTGAAGTAAAAATATTTTTTGAACATAAATTATTTTTAGTCTAAGAAAATCCATCTCATAAGTAAATCATACACTTAATTATCTAAATTATAGTAGGAGAAATGAAGAATGAGCACTTCTATTTGTAGATGAGTGTAATTACACCAAAATTGTTAAAGTTTTTATAACACGCTCTTACTTGGCCAATTACCGCCCTACGATGAATGTACATTTGAACTGTAACGAAGTCAAGCCTAGTAAAAAGTAGTATTTTTTGGTGATATAAATGAGACTCTGAAAAATGTTATTTAGCATAATATGTCTCCAACTGCACTCATGAAATGTGTCAAATTGCATTCAAGGCTTGCATATTTTTGTAAGTTCTCAAAATAATAAATTTTTACAACTATTTTATAGTACCTTTGTAAATTAAAATTTTGTTTGTATCACTGTGGCAAAAGCATATTTTTTACTTCCTTGTACGAAGTAAAAAGGAAGTATTGTAATCGCGAAAAGCTTCAGGCAGCATATTTCAACGAAAATATCCATTTTGACCGCTATCGAATGCAATTTAATAATGTTTTTGCGTGATATCTGTACGTAAGGACAGAATAAAATACTCTTTTCCTTCAAAAAAAAATTATAAAACTGCTTTAAAATTAATTCTGAAAAGAATTTTTCGTGGCGTCTGTACGAACGTATGTGCGTACGTGCGTACGAACGTATCTCGCATAACTCAAAAACGAGTAGCCTCAGAACGTTTAAATTTTATATATAGGACTGCTATAACATGTAGATGTGCATCTCGTATTTTGGTTGCAATCGGCCGCACCAAACGTATATAAATATATTTATATATTTATCTACTCTATTACTTGGCTCAGTGATCTCAGTTTCTTTACTCTTATATGTTTGTAAATTGTACATGTTTTGCTTTAAAAATGATTGAATTATGTTTTTTTTATCTTCCGGTTAAGGATTTTATGCCTTTAGTAATTCTGTGTGCAATATTTTTAGAATTATCAGCAATTTTAAAGTTGTTTAATTGCCACTAAGCCTGATTTTAATGGCGGACATTGATGTTTACGTTTGAAACAGGAGACTAGTGGATTTGTTGCCAATCTAGAGAAACTTAGCTTCGCAACAACAAAGATAACGCATTCATTTATTATTGCCAATTAAATCATGCTTAATTCTTTCTGGAACTTTTTCGAGGGAATAAGTGTTTGAGATTTACTTCGTAGTTTTTGATATAGATCATTAGAGTTTTTATGTATTTTTGCCTTCTCGCGAAGGGAACACTGAATTAACTAAATGAGAAATACTCAATCGTCTGTGAAAAACTGTTTCTTTTTTGTTTTGTTTGCTTAATTTCTTTTATACATAGTTCTAGCTTTATTATAGTATTCGAATAGAACATGTGCAACGATTAGATAATTCTTTAAATGATATAATTTTGTGCATTCTGAGTTATAATATGAATGAAATATAATACTGTTAAGTAAACCTAGCGCCAGAGTTTCGCTATGGTAAACAAAGTGAATTTTAAAAAATGCATTTATTCTATTGTGGTTTATGCGCTGTCGGCGAAGTAGGTTTATTTCAATCTAATAAGTTTAAATAAAATGCAAGAAAAAATGCGTATAATTTAATATTCCGTACAAAGAAGTCATGTGGTGTACACATCAGATTTTTTTTTACTTATAATTATATCATACTATCTGATGAGCAATCTATTCAGTTGTTCAGATTTATAATCCATGTATGCTTATTGATACAGTCTAGTGAGATAAATTTAAGAATTTACCTGTAGTTGGAAACGTTTCATTTCATTTTTCTGAAAATTATTACTATAACAATCAACATGCGTTTTATACAAAAAAAATAATAATTCAATATGAATGAAAAATGAGTGTTTCCTTTTACTAATATAAAAAGTCTGTCTCCCATTTCCTTCCCAAG